AATCTCTCATTTGTATTTTCTGAAGAAGATTTCATCAGCTAGGAGAAGAGTTCCCAGCTCTTTTCTTGATCTAAGAGTTTCAATTCAATCAGAGAGCTTTCATCACTTATATATCTGCCTACATTAGTACACCGAGAAGTAATGATAATTCTGCTACCATTTCTCGAGTTGATGGGGATAACGTTTTTTAACTCATCCCAAGATTCACATTTCCAAATATCATCAAGAAAAATTAAGCACCTTTTTTCATTGAGCAGAGAAAGCAAGTTGTGCTTCAAATTTTCATTCATCTTTTCCTTTTCGAGGCCAACTTGCTTTGCTATGTCACGTAGAAGCTCTTGGACTCTAGGCTTATTTGAGACATAGACTATGGCAGAAGAAGTAAACTCGTTTCGCATTTCTTTATATATTTTTTTACCAACAGTAGTCTTGCCCACACCTGCGTCCCCTACAATACATATCATTTTACACTTCGGGTTTGAGCTCCTCAATTTTTCCTTGAGTTCCTGGAATTTATCTTCACGACCGACAACCATTGACTCCGTGGCAATTAGGAATTCTTTTCTTCGATTCCATACCTCCGAATCTGCATTACCTGTTTTATTTTATGTGGTTCATATTTATAAGATATTTGGTTAATAATTATAACTAAAAAAGACATAATTATTTGGATAACTACCAAAGAAGCTCTTTCATACTAATTGCCTGGACAAAGAAAATTAGCCCTTTCTCATATTTTATACAAGAGACTATCAAATTAAAATGCAATCTAGAGATCTTGATATTTCATATTTATGGTTCTTTAGCCAAAATTTAAATAAAGAAAAAAAGAAAGAGAATAAAAATCATAGAATATAGCATGTTCAGATTTATATTGATCTAAATGGATAAAATCAGCATACCTCCATCCGTATCAAGATTAATACGGCATCTTGTATCAAGATTAATACGGCATCTTTCTCTTTTGGCTTCAATTTCTTCGGCCCGACTCTTGATTTTTTCAATTTTCTGGGAAAAGGTATTGGTTGTGCCACCACAACATAGTATACAAGCAGCATCCTTAACGAATCGAAATGGCCCCTTTTCCATCTCTGGAAGGTAAGTATACAAAATATCTTCGATGTCCAGAGCAAGATCTCTCATCTCAATTATCAAATTAGCAACTTCACGGCTTCCAACTTTCTTTGACTCGGCATCTTTGAGGCATGATTTGAAGTGTCTCATTTGTCGTTCAATCCACTCTATGTCCTCCTTCAATCTATACGAGGAGCGTGAGGCTGTTCCGACAATTTGAGGCATGATTTGAAGTATCTCTACTGCTTTGTTAATGACCGCAGTAAATGCTGCTGACTCTGCCATCTACTCTCGTTTTCTCTCAAATATAGTATGTGAAATACGATGAATCAAATGAAAGTCAAGATTAGTGTAAGATGAGAATGGAATGACAATATATTTGAAAGTATAAAAATATGAATTGCCTCATTTTTAACACAAATTTGAATTTTCATTTGTAATGGGCCCAACTCAACAAGAAAAAGTAATTGATTACTTCATTGGTAAGATTAGGGTAAAATAGGTGTTGCCGACAAGGAAGGGGAATGACTTTTTCAGTGAGGGACATGGAAAAAGTAGACAAAGGTAAAGAAAAAAAAGAACCCCACTACCAAGGAAAAAAAGAACCCGACAAGGAAGGGGAAAGACTTTTTCAGTGAGAGAAGTGGAAAAAGTAGACAAAGGAAAATCAATTATTACCTTCTTAGAAAAGAACTCAAGACAGTTTCCAGCTTTTTCTTCATTTTTTTCCACACTATCAAACGTTGTACTCGGAGAAATTATGTTCGAGTCGATTTGTTCGAGGTTTAACCATGGATTTAGTAAGTTTGGCATCCGTTTTTAAAGATTATGTTTTCGATGAGTAATCAGATTGGATTTCGTCCCAATTTCCGATTTTCAATTGGAACGGCGGATTTGTTCCTAATATCGATTACTAGTAAACCACTCTCCTCGCTTGATTAATAATTTGATTAATATCATATTATCTAATTGTCAGTAATATAATAAACATGAAACTAATTCAATCATGTTAACCCATACATCTTATAAAAAAAAAATCTAAAATAATGAATTAAAACGTATTGAAAGACAATTAACAAATAATTTACCCAATAAATTTAATGAAGAAAATCAGGACAAGAAGAATGTGACATATATATAAAACTGGTAAATTAACAATAAGAGAAAAGGATGAATATCTTCAATATTTATCACTCTCAAGAGTCCAAACATCTTCACGCTTGAATTTTCATAAGTTAATAAAATAATAAAGATTTCCATGTTTATAATCTTTAGAATCCAATTTTCAGGAATAAGTATCCAAGAGTCTACAAGTAAACTGTGATTTGCAGAACTATATAATACGTGGTCCATATGAAATATCTCTCTCTCAACCAAACCACTACCAATCCCCAGGGAGCAAGGCACCGCACATAGATCACCCCCAAATGCCCACCTGTGTTACCTCCAGTATTCACGCCTGTCAAACAATATGCATCCACAGGCACGCCAACAATCTCCACCTTTTTAGTCTCAGAAAAATGAAAAATACATCACAGCATGCAACAAATTCAATAACATATATGTTGTATGATGTATGCACAAGCATCTAATTGAAAATCAAACGTCATTATTTGGGCTTATATCTTGAACTCCCTAACTGGGCTCCAATTCTTAGATCATTTAATTGGGCTTTATTTTTGGGAAAATTAGGTCATATACCCTATTTTTCAAAGTGTTTTGATTAATACCCTTTATATTAATGAAACCTTTGAAAGAAGTATTATTTACGTTGTAAAATCAAACCCAAGCCCTATTCTTTGACATGACAATTGCCGGTCAACCGGATCGTGATGGAACTGTTCGCCGACGTCGTCCCTCGCACCGCCGAGAACTTCCGCGCTCTGTGCACTAGAGAGAAAGGCGTTGGAAAATCCGGCAAGCCACCTCACGACAAAGGCTCCGATTTCCACCATGTAATCCTGAATTCATGTGCCAGGGAGGCGATTTTACCGCCGGAAATGGCATCGGTGGAGAGTCAATATATGGATCCAAGTTTGCCGATGAGAATTTTGCGAAGAAGCACACTGGTCCTAGTATTCTGTCCATGGCCAATTCTGGACCTGGAACCAACGGATCTCAATTTTTCATCTGTACTGCGAAAACAGAATGGCTTGATGGTAAACACGTGTTTAGGCAAGTAGTTGAGGGAATCGATGTGGTAAAACTCATTGAGAAAGTTGGATCTGGTTCTGGAAAGACTGCAAAGCCAATGGTGGTTGCTTATTGTGGTTAACTACAATGGTGGCTTCTGATCTCTTCTTCTCTTTTTGGTTTTAGGATTTATGAGAGGTTGTTCTTGGTTCACTCTTTTGTTTTTCGTTAAATTGAAACTACCTCTGAAATAATGTGGTTTAATCATTTTACACCATCGATCATCTTTACTGTCTATGCTTGATTGTTGATATTTTCAATTTCGATCATTAATTTTGAGCAGAAAATGACTGCGTAGGATTCTGGGATTTTCACTCTCCTTCGTTACTGTTGCTACACTTTATCAACCATTTGGA